GGGGTGGGGTGGAGGTGGAGGTGGAGAAGGCCCACAGGACAGACTACCTCCGTGGCATTGCCTAGAAAAGGTCACACGGGTTGACTAAGTGTTTCTGGGAGAGGCTGAAACAGAAATTAGTTCAAGTATTACATCTAGGTTTGGTGTTCTGGGCTTTTGCACAAGTGACACCATTTGGGCCTGTGGTTCTCTCTTGAACAATCCCCATTATTAAAACTGCCTATAGCAGTCTTTGGGGACAAGGATCTTGAAATGTTAGAAGACCTGTGAAGATACAGCTCTAGAGTGATTTTGTTCATTGATTCAACACACATTTACTGAGCACCTATGTGCCAGAGACTGTTTCAAGTGCTGGAGTTACATCCATGAACAAAATAGAGAAATCTGACTGGTATAGCATTACATTCTTATGGGACAGGAAGCAACAAAAAATAATAAGTAAATTATAGAGTAGAAAATGGTAAGTTGGGCCTGCCTTTAATTATTGGGCCCAAAGGGTTTTATTTGAATTTAAGTTGCTTTTTGTATAAAGGAACTTGAAGATTTGTAAGCCCTAATACCTTATTGAGAAACATCTCTTTCTTACCCCTCCCTCCTCAGTAGCCTCCGCAAAGGCAGGACTGGGGCACGGGGCTAGTAGAAATGCTTTTCTTCTTCAGGGCATAAATCTCAGTGGGGGCCAGAAGCAGCGCATCAGCCTGGCCAGAGCGACCTATCAAAATGCAGACATCTATATTCTGGATGACCCCCTGTCGGCCGTGGATGCTCACGTGGGAAAACACATTTTCCATAAGGTCTTGGGTCCCAATGGCCTATTGAAAAGCAAGGTGAGGAATCATTTAAAGTGGCAAAGCCATGAGGTATGTGTTTCGGGGGCACACATCTAGGTCAGCTGCAGTCCTGAAGCAGATTTCCTTATTGACCTGCCCCCCAGGGCTGCTGAGGAGACAGTGTCAGACTGGTCTTCCAGGAGCTAAGCTCATAAGGGCTCCTATCTTGAGGTCATGGCAAATTCCAGCTTATTCTGTGGCTTGGGCATTGAGCCCATTAGGATGATTGATTATGATAGAAAGCACTTTGAGACCTGTATTGGTTTTTCGTTTCCCGTTCTTGGCACAGAGCTCATAAACTTTGAATTTCCTGAGTGATACTAGGAGTGTCTTTTGTTATTCCTAGTGAGCCCTTTAGATAACATAGGAGTCTGTGCTAATAAGTGACTTAGTCTACACGTCTGATAGGTCTAAGCTAGTAAGCTCTCCCATCCCAACAGTGTCTGTGTTGTGGACAGAGACAGTGGCTTGGGTTTTCTCTCCAGAGGCTCTTTCAACCCCATGGTCCCTATCTGAGCTTCATTAATGATCCATGAGTGTTAGTCTTCCTTTGAGTGGAACCCCTGTGTCAGTAGTCATGTGATTTATCAATAGACAGCAATACAAGGAATGTCATATCCCACACCCGGGAGGACCTGGGCCAAAGACAAAGTTTCTTGTTACACAATGTCACTAACATGCTGAAAGAATCTGGGCAGTTTGTTTGTTTGTTTTTAAAGTTATCTTTACTGATTTCCGAGAGGAAGGGAGAGGGAGAGAGAGAGAGAACCATCTATGATGAGAGAGAATCATTGATCAGCTGCCTTCTGCACGCACTCCACAAGGGATCCAGCCTGCATCCCGGGCATGTGCCCTGACTGTGAATTAAACTCTGATGGTCTGGTTCATAAGCTGATGCTAAATCACTGAGCCACACTGGCCGGGGTGGGCAGTTCTTATTAGCTCAGTTCGTTAGCTGGTTAGCAAAAGGGACAACTGGTTAGCTAGTAATTTAGTTAGTTATGTCCCTTGACATTCCTAAGCCAAACTCCTGGCTACCCAAGAAGCTGGAAGAGAATGTGTGTTATGCATACCTCATTGTCACTATAAAAAATCTCCAAGTATATACACAATGATGACAGGAATCTCTCTTTTTTTTTTCCAGGAGTCTCATCTCACACATGGGTCAGGTTTTAGGATGAGGTGCTAGGAAGGAAAGAGGAAGTAACAGAGGCCAGGTGGTCAGGGCCACATTTTGAAGCAAAGCCCCATAGTGAATTGAGTCATCTGCTTTTCCTTCTTTAGAGTAGGACGAGGAAGGCGGTGGACACAGGGTGATCAGCACAACTTACTGTTATTTTTACAGACTCGACTCCTGGTTACACATAGCATTCACTTTCTTCCCCAAGTGGATGAGATTGTGGTTCTGGAGAATGGCACCATCTCAGAGAAGGGGTCCTACCGTGCCCTGCTAGCCAAGAAAGGGCTGTTTGCTAAGAACCTGAAGACATTTGTAAAGCAGGCGGGTCCTGAAGGAGAAGCCACAGGTATGTAAGGACAACGGGAACGGGGATAGAATTTGGGCATGGCAAGGAATGGAAGTAGTGAACCCATATCTACCTCCTGAACTGCTCAGTATCCAGTGAACTAGATTTGAGTGTGAATTACCCAGAGATCCAAAATCTGTTCTTTCTGTGTTGTGTCTCTGTGAAGAAGCATGGACACAGGAACTCTGTGCCTGAGCCGAACTGGAGGTTCATCCTGCTTATCTGGTCGCTGACATGTAATCAAAGGGCACACTTTGGAAGGGTGTGACTGGAGTTTGGGGTGACCAGCCCTGTGAATGGGGTTTTCCAGGGAATTGTCAGACAGGTCAAATAATAATTTTCCGGGGATGAGGTGTTTGGGGGAGTTCTAAACCAGCCTGTTCTCTCCAGCAGCTGCTAGGCTACTGTTTTTCGTGGTTACCATGATTATGAGGTTTTTGCTTTTCTAGGCTACAACAGATCTGAAGAGAGAGGGATGGGAATGTAGTAAATTAAATAATCACAAAACTTACTAGTCTTACTAAGATTTGGTTATTTTTATTAAATAGATGTTCCTTGGATTGTTGCAGGCTCTTGGTTAATTTTAGAGTTACAAAAAAGTTGATTTGGACAATTTTTTGCCAGTATTCTCATTGATGTTATGGAGGTAACAATTTCTTGAGATCCTTACTATACCATTATGATGCCCAGGTTATGTTTACATTTTATTTTATTTTCAGGGATTTTTAAATGCTTTAAATTCATAAAAGTTTGTCAAATTATTTGAATTTCAAGAGCATTTTAAAATTTATACTTACCTCTTTAGTCAATTCTGGAGATTATAATTCCTGTGTTTGTCTACTATAATCCTTGAAACTTCCTTCCTGCTCCAAAGGAACTTAGAAGCTTCTGGGAATATTTTTCTCCTTTTGACCATTTTACTTTTAGGTGGAATATTAACTCATTTCTTCTTCATCCTGGTATTTCTCAATGAGTAAATATACCAAAAAAATAGTATTTCTGGAGTAAAAAATTCCAGCCTATGTGTACATCTGGGATTTCTTGCTGAGCCCAGCAATATCAGAAAAGACATCTCTCTCCTTGTTCATATGGCTGTGAGAGCTCTATGCACTCTCTCTAACCTTTGATGTGTCTCTTAGTCAATGAGGACAGTGGAGAAGAAGATGACTATGGGCTGATGACCAGTGTGGAGGAAGTCCCTCAGGATGTAGCCTCCTTTACTATGAACAGAGAAAACAGCCTTCATCGAACACTTAGCCGCAGGTTGGTCATCTACTCAGCTGGCATCCATCATCCCTTCCATATTTCCACTTGATCATTCTCTTTTTCTATGTGGATAGTGGACACCATGAACACTCCCAACTCTTCCTTTGTTTCCTTGTCTGGGAAGAGGGTTGGGGTTGTGTGATTCTCCAAGGCCACCTGCTCGGAAATGAATGTTGATGCAATCAGAGTGACTGACACCTGCTTTTAAGAAGACCCTCGGGACGCAACTACATGCTCAGGAAAGCTTTCCCCCTTTCAATTTCTCAGATCGAGGTCTAGTAGCAGGCGTCTGAAGACCCTGAAACACTCCTTGAGAACTCAGAATGTGAATACCCCGAAAGAGGAGAAAGAACTAGTGAAAGGACAAAAATTAATTGAGAAGGAATTCATACAAACTGGAAAGGTGAATACAACAGTAAACAGTACCATTAGGGGTGATATAAGGCTTGGGGTCCCAACATTTTAAAGTTTGATGACTTGAATACATATCTACAAAAGGGCTATGTCTTATGCTTGCTTTGCACGTCTTTAAATTCATCACTGGAATGTTGGCAGATACTCAGAGCTTTCCATCAATTCATATTTTCATGAAGAATGGCATGGTTCTGTGAATATCTTCATAGCACATTTCATGAGTGTTTGATTCCGTTCTGACATGTGGGGCAAATAACAAAACTGCTTTGAGATGCAATTCTGGGAGCCAGAGAACACTAATCCATCCACCTCAGTATACAATTCAAATTAATAAAAGTTAAAATTAAGGTCTTAAATTTAAGGTCTTAACTTAAATCCAAATTCCTAAGACAAATTCCAGGCTCTGCAGTATAACTCCATTTGTCTCACTCCATTTTTCTATCTTCCCCGCTTAATTGCATGATCATTTACTTTGCATTGTATTTAAGCATTGATTACTAGCCTGGCCCAATGCACAAATGATAAGCACAGACACCAAATTCTGCTACCCGCCATCCATTTTCCCAGGGACTCCACTCCCCCTGTGATTGGTATTCCAGGTAATTCTCCACCAGAAGCCATTAGGAATTCTGCTAACATTGGCATGGGGGTTTTGCAGGTCAAGTTCTCCATCTACCTGAAATACCTACAAGCAGTAGGATGGTGTTCAATTTTCTTCATCGTCTTTGCCTATGTAACCAGTTTTGTGGCTTTGATTGGCTCCAATCTCTGGCTTAGCGTTTGGACCAGTGACTCTAAAACCTTCAATGCCTCCAACTACCCAGCCTCTCAGAGGGATATGAGAATTGGCGTCTATGGAGCCCTGGGATTAACACAAGGTACGTCTGATGGCGATGATAGCCATTTCTTACATAATTTCTCTGATCAATGTACTTTGCCTGGACTCAGGGAAAAAACTGCCATTATGTCCGAGGCACAAGACGTCAGGGATCCACGTGCACAGCACTGACTAAACTGGTTCCATTTCTAGGTATATTTGTGCTCCTAGCAAATATCTTGAGTGTCTATGGTTTCTCGCATGCATCAAACATCCTGCACAAGCAACTGCTGAACAATATCCTTCGAGCGCCCATGAGTTTTTTTGACACAACACCCATAGGCCGGATTGTGAACAGGTTTGCTGGAGTAAGTATGTCAAGGGCTGTAAGGGTATGCATGTGGGTGCTGAGAATCTTTCTATTCTGACCGGGAAAGACTGCTCATGTCCCCTGGCAACACTGTGTAGTTCCAGTTCTTTTGTCCATCAGCATGCAAATTATTTATTTGAGTACCTTGTGTGAGGTCCCAAAGATCCTATGAATACAGGACCGAATAAGTAGCTCACCATCTAGTGAGTAAGACATCCAAGGAAATAAAGGATTGTAATAAAATGTGATAAAACCCAAATAACAACAATGTGTACAATGGTGTTCTGGGAGTATAAAAGAGTGACAGGGAAAAGAGGTACTAGCTCAGTTTGGGTGATCGAGGGTCGCAAATGTGAGAAAAGGTGAGACTTGAGTTTAGTTATAGAAGTTAGCTAGGGAGATGGTGGGGACAGGGGATAGCTGGGTGGCAGTAGAAGCAGGATGAGAAGAATTAGTCCTTTATTCCTGGACATATTATTACTTGCATTCTGATGTGACTTTGGGGAGGGAAATTAGACTCAAGAGTCATCCATTCTGTGGGATTCTCTTAGAAAACTAATATCCCTTATCCAGTTTGGCACACTTCAGAGATAATATAGACTCGATAATTTGATACTCACATATTACTAATCCTAGAATCAACATAATCTAAGAAACATAGGCAAGGGAAACCCAAAAATATAATCCACTCCTGTGCATATTAAATCATCCATCCATCCACCCACCCACTCATTTGCTCATTTATATCCAACATGACATAAAGGTGATGTGGTAGTAAGACCTATTCATTATCTCTAGTTAGAACACTAACCAGGCAGGGGTCATATTCAATCTCCATCTCCTTATCCCTTTGAAGCTCTATGCTTGACAGAAAAAACAACTTTCC